TTACACACTGGACCTTTAATTTGCATGTTTGCAATGTTTACTGCTGAGAGCTGAAATTAACAACAAACTAGTGAATTTGCATGACGATATAAATTAGGGTTATTGATTACACACCTTACTTTATCTGATTTATAATGCAATAAATCAGCACTAAGCTGCAAGTTTTAAGTGTCTCTTAAAATACATAAAATACTGTATGATACTGAACAAAACTGAAAGAGGTTCTGCATACAGTATGGGCGTAGACAATCACGTCATTAAACATTGCTTATTGATTGATTTATCTTAAACTAAATCAGTCTTATTGTAACTTAGCTAAAATTGTTGGAAAAATACTTGGAGACAGAAGTTCGTGAACAGCCTCTGCAGGATTTATTCAAATCGATACAATATAGTTCCAAGAACTCTTCAGAAAACCAAGTACAACAGTACAGAACAACCATAGAATTCCTAAAGCCTCGATAGTTGTTTTCCAATGCTCTTTTGGGTTTGTCCTTAGAGGACAAACTCAGCATTTACAGAATAGGAAACTGTTCTTAATGTTTCAACTATACTCTAATGCACTAATATTTTTTCTGACCACTAAAACCTGTTGTGTTCTTAACCTTCAGTGTAAAGGAGATTTATCTGTAGAAAACAAGATAATAAAAACTGAATTTCAAATCACCCATGGCTGGAATGCAGTTAGAAATATATTTGCATGCATTGATGAACTGATTTCAAGCAGTAAAATTTGCTGCACCTGACTCAGTCACCATTGTTGTCTTTTTGTTTTTTTAATGAGCCTAACTGCTACTCCTACACTGTTGATCTTCTTTTTTTGTTCTTTACTGTTGTCCTGTCACTGGTGCTCTCTTACTGTACTTTGAGCACATCAATCTTCAGAGAGGAGTCTGGTTTTATGTGAGGTTTGGATTTTATCAAAACACATCCTGTTCAGGGGGAAAAACAGAATGCATAAAAAGCATGCTCTGACGGAAGTTGTGTGAGATAATAGACTACTTTTTACAATGTAAATACAACTCTCTGGTATCACTCATCTTTGTGCATAAAAAAGGCAGGAAATTAAAAATATATGTATTGATAAAAAGTTTTTACGCTTTGGTTCAGGTGGATAAGTTGAGGTTTAAATAAAGTAAAATATGAGGAAGTGCAATGGAAACTAAATCATGACGTATGGGAAGTATGTGGCTTATCCACTTTGTTCATTGTTCGTGACCGTCCTGTGAATAAGAGGAAGGAGGATGAACTGTAATATGACTCAGCTGGATATCTGCCTGATGTGTGGGGATTGGTTGTTCCAGTAAGATTTTACGTGTAGAGGAGAGCTTTAAAAGCTTTCTGCCAGGAGTTCTTCCAACAGTGCAGGAGATACTCAAAGATTAAGGATTTCCACTCAGATCTCGACAACATAACATCTCCTGCACCCTTACAGGTCTGTGTGAGGGGAAAGATCTTGGAACAGACTTTTATATTATTACTTTAAATGGTGTTGATTTACTAATTTGACTTTGTTTAGTTTCTTTTGTGACATTTTTGAGGGTGATATTTTTGGATATTATTGTCTCTGTAGCTATCTGTTGCTGTTGTCTGCTGTCCAGCAGTCGGAATGAAGATTCCTGCTCTGTTCTCTGCAGCCCTGCTGCTGCTGCTGCTTCCTGAGGTTCCAGCTGCAAGTGAGAATAGTTTTAAACAATTTATTTTTTATTAATGCAGTTATAGGATATTGTTTATCATCTAATTGTATACCCTGTACTAACATTGACTCACTTATTTCAGGCTCTGGTCAAACTCCGATTAGCATCCTTGTGACAAACTCTGTAACAAACTCTCCCAATCAGACCTACAGCACTTGTGTGGTCTACAGAGGAATCTTACTGGGTGGAATGAGGAGACTGCAGGAGTCCAACACAGGCTTTATGTAAGATCACCTCATTATAACTGTTTCTTTAATCTGACTCTCCAACAGTAATAACATGCAATTTTTTTACATTAATCAACACTTTTTCACTAGTTGGAAATACACCCGTTAGGGTTCTCTCTTCACTCTCAGAGACGGGCGCAACACATTTGTTCTTGTTTACTCACTTTGTGTTTCCAAGTGCCCTTTCATGTATTTGGGCGTTACTCTTTGATTGTCAAACAATTCATCTTTCACAATCATATCACACTTAGTAACTGCCCATTTTCTGGGTCAGTCAAAAACATTCACACCTTTATCTGGAGGCCCATGGAGGCCAGCAATGGTCATCCTAAATATAAGCAACCAGATTTTATCTACAAAGTGACAACGTTAAGGGGCTTCTTGAATAAAATTACAGAGTCCTCATGAATCTTTTGTGCAGCCTTTAATATTTTTCATCCTTTTGTATTTATATTTTTTATTCACAAAACAGTCTTAAAAGTGTACACAGACTGTTGTTACCATTTTATCTAAAACCCCTGCTTAAAGTCTGCATAATTTACATCAGAATTCATTAATTCAAATAAGGTCAAATTAAGCTAAATAGACTGTACTTATATAGCACCTTTCTAATCTTCAGATCACTCAAAGTGCTGTACACTGCATGCCACATTCACCCATTCACACACATTCAGTGAATCAGTGCCATCGCAAACAGAAACTAATCCATTCATACAATATGAAATTGAAGAAAATGTATCAGTGGATTCCCTGTGAGAAGACAAGGGCCGAAGTCCTTCACAAAGTCATCTCCTGACTGTTTTCCTTGCAGGTTCACTTACACAGAGGATCCAAACTATGGCCCGTACCTGCATAGTGTGAACGGTTTGGCTGGATGTACAGAGCAACGTACCTCCTGGGAGCTGCTGGTAAAGAAAACAAACAACCAAGTTATAAGACCTGATGTTGGTGAGTTAACCCCTGTCTTTTTACATCCTCAGTTTTACTGTCAATTTCTAATCTTGTTTTGTCTTGATTTTGCTTGCAGGTATTGGATGTTACATTCCGAGTGCAAATGATCAGATCATTCTGAACTTTAACAAGTACTAAATGACCAGCAGCCACTGGACATCAAGATAAAATCCATTTGTGTTTGTTGTTCAGTGAGAAGTAGCATCTGAATACATGGCCCCATCTGTCAAATGGAGAGTTTGCATTACTTTGTCTTGAGTTTTTAATGATTGTGTCATGGGACTCTACCTTGATCTGAAATTTCCTGCTTGGTAAACTGATACCTATGAAGATTTCTTCATACTGTGGCTGCTGGATTACATACTACTGTTATCCACTTGAACATAAAGCATGTTGTGTGAGTCCTCCTGAAAAAAACAAAACAAACTTAATAAATTCTTTACAGCATCAACTGTTTTTGTGTTTTTTTCCCCCAATTCTGGTAAAATCAGACTGAAATGTCTTATCTGGGCTAATCACTTGTCACTGTTTAAAGCTGCAGTAAGTAACTTTTAGTCATATTTGCTGAAACTTTCATTATATCCTGACATTAGTATATGGACAGATAAAAAAAAAACTGGCTCCTCCTAGTGCTCTTAATGGCATTTACAATAATCCACCGGGCCTGAATGAAAACAACCATTCAGAGCAGAAAAATATATAAATACACTCGGTTGGAGACTTGAATATTTGGTTGTCGAGTCACATTCCCAGCATCAGTATTTGATGTCCTGGGAATAAAATTCGACAATCAACTATATTTTTTCCTCTAGTAGAGATCACCATCAAACTATCAAATATTGTACAATTAGCTACACAAAAAAAGATAAGATAATTGTGGCCACAACCACACTGTAATAAGTGCAACATCATGTAGGTTTAATATACTTAAAATATTTGTGATCTAGTTTGTTTTATCCTAAAAATGATCAATATATTTCTCCTCTACTTAAAATTAAATTCATCAAACCTAACAACTTCCTTTTCTAGTTTCTTATGTTATAGTGTATCTACTTTTGTCATTTGTTATCTATTTTTTCAACTTTATTAAAGCACCTTTTAACACCTTTGTCCTTTTGCCTTGTTTTGTTGGGTCCCTGACAGTCTTAGAGAGTGTCCCTTTTGAGACAATACAGAGATACATGAACTGTAGTACACAATAAGGAAGATTTAAAACTTGGCAGGACACTGAGCTATTCTCGTTTGTTTGTTTATCCTCGTTTCCCCGGCTCCTCGTCTCCTCTCTCCTCCATTCTCCTGTCTGTGACCCAGTAATTGATCTCAGCACGCCATCTTGAAGGATATCTCAGTTCATAAAATGCACCTTGAGAAGCAAGGAGAAAGGATGTATCCTTTTCAGAAGTCTGTTCAAATGTATTCATGAAAATAGCATGTGTGTGAATTAAGATGATCAAATGCACGATCAAACATTCTGCCCTTCCCCATTTGTGTACCACCTCGAAAGGTGCTGTTAGAATTGCATTCCTTAATGAGATTTCACCTTGACACAGCTAGTTACAATGGTAACGGCCAAAAAAACTCCTCAGATACCAACACACACATAATACACAGTAAATTAACAGTGTCATGAGTCTGTCTTTAATTCAATATAAATGTAATCCACCAACCAGCACTTATTTTAGTGAGAAATAATAATTTATGAAACAGTCTGCCTCTCAATCCCACAGTCTTCTCCCACTTACTATGGAGACGAGTTTTTGTAGCGAGTTGAGACAAGAAAATTGTCAAAAAGTTAATAAAAGTGGATTATATTGATGCTGTATTGACAGTTGAGATAAGACGCACTTTATCTTGTGTTTCTAGAGTTACGTGTTTTAGAGACACATAAGGAATTGTTAGTATAGCTCATAAGATTTACTTAAAAAATATATTGTAAGTATTTGCACGCAAATGATTCAAGTAAAATTTAATGCTGCAATATCGAGTAACACTAACTTGCCAGTATCAAGTAAATTTTACTTACCATTAAACATAACAGTTGTGAAGA